ATATAGTCCTCATCTTACGGAATATAGAGGTACTTCTGGACGGTTCGTTTAGCGACGGCCAACGCTGTAAATTCTGTAAGGTTCCGCTGCTTGAGCAAGGGGCTGGCTAGATGGCCTCCAAGGTCCCTTCCAACTTTGTTCTTCCGTGATTCTGGAAGGGCCTGAGCAGGGGGCTGGACTAGAGGACCTCCGGGGTCCCTTCCAACTCTTGTTATTGTTAGGGTTTCCTGCGTGAGCAGGGAGTTGGACTAGATGACCTCCAAGGTCCCTTCCACCACTGTTCTTCTATGATTCTGGAAGGATCTCCTGCTTGAGCAGGGGGTTGAACTAGATGATCTCCAAGGTCCCTTCCACCACTGTTCTTCTATGATTCTGGAAGGATCTCTGCTTGAGCAGGGGGTTGGACTGGATAACCTTCAGGGTCCCTTCCAGCTCTTGTTATTCTATGATTCTGTAAAGATCTGCTGCTTGAGCAGGGGGTTGGACTAGATGACCTCCAGGGTCCCTGCCAACACTTCTTATTCAATGATTTTGTAAGGGTCTCCTGCTTGAGGAGGGGGTTGGACTAGATGACCTCGGACATCCCATCCAACTCTTGTTATTCTATGATTCTGTAAAGATCTGCTGCTTGAGCAGGGTGTTGGACTAGATGATCTCCAGGGTCCCAGCCAACATTTCTTATTCTATGATTCTGTAAGGGTCTCCTGCTTGAGCACAGGGTTGGACTAGATGATCTCCAAGGTCCCTTCCAACTCTGTCATTCTGATTCTGTAAGGGTCTCCTGGTCCAGCAGGGGGTTGGATTAGATGACCTCCAAGGTCCCACGGTCCTAAAATGGGCGAATCTGACGCGGTTTGTCTCCCGTCTTGCCCTCTCCAGCCTTCTTGTTTAGCTGCTGCTGTTGGACGTCCAAAAGCAGGCAGTCCTCAACTTACGACAATTGAGCTCAGGAGTTATGTTGCTAAATGAGACATGAAGTGCTCCGTTGTCTGACGTTTCTTGCCCTTTTTGTGAAGTGAATCACTTCGGTTGTTAATGAATCTGGCTCACTGCTTGTCAGAAGCTCGCAAAAGAGGATCGCGTGACCCGCTGGGGTGCTGCGAACCATCATAATACAAGTCAGTTGCCAAAAATCTGAATTTTGGTCACGTGACCCCAGGGACGCTGCAACCGTCTTAAATACAAGTCGATTGCCAAGCGTCTGGATTTTGATCCCGTGACTTTGGGACGCTGCGACCGTCGTAAATACGAGTCGGTTGCCGAGCGTGTGAATTTTGATCCCGTGACTTTGAGACGCTGCGACCGTCGTAAATACGAGTCGGTTGCCGAGCGTCTGAATTTTGATCCCGTGACTTTCGGACGCTGTGACTGTCGTAAATACGAGTCGGTTGCCGAGCGTCTGAATTTTGATCACGTGGTTCCGGGATGCTACAACGGTTGTTAAGTGTGAAAAACGGTCCTTTCCGGTCCAGATCAAGTTTTGTCCATCCTAACAACCTGAAGGCAGGTGGACTTCGATGCCCAGAATTCCTCTTGCTCAGGACTAGGCCATCTTGGCTCTTTTATGACTCGTGGACTTCAACTCCCAGAATTCCTGAGCCAGCCTGGCTCAGCTTGGAAACCTCTCCCTTTCCCCTCAGCATGGCTGGCTCAGGAATTCTGGGAGTTGAAGTCCACCAGTCATAAAAGAGCCCAGGTGGCCTATCCCTTGCTCTTGCTTGTCGGATGGGTCCCTGTTTGGGTCAAAATAATGTCACAGAGCAAATGTTTTTTGGTGTTTTTTTTTGGAACCTTACAAAATGGCGGCTGTCCAATCCATCACTTTTAAGATGGATCCTCCTAAAAAAAAAAATATCTGAATATTTTTATTTTATTTTTTCTATCTCCCGTCTTACTCTTTCAGCGCTCCTAATTTAGCTGGCGGTGGGGGGGTGAATCCAACACTTTCAGCAGTTAAATCTGAAGCTGAATTAAATTACGTCTGGTCCTCGGTTTACAACGGTTCGCTTAGCGACCGTTCCCAAGTTACAACGGCGTTGGAAAAAAAGGGACTCAGGACCCGTTTTTCATGCTGGTGACCATTGCAGCGTCCTGGGATCACGAGATGAAAATTCAGACGCTGGGCAACCGACTCGCATTTACGACGGTCACAGCGTCCCGGGGTCACGAGATGAAAATTCAGACGCTGGGCAACCGACTCGCATTTACGACGGTCGCAGCGTCCCGGGGTCACGAGATCAAAATTCAGACGCTGGGCAACCGACTCGCATTTACGACGGTCGCAGCGTCCCGGGGTCACGAAATCAAAATTCAGACGCTGGGCAACCGACTCGCATTTACGACGGTCGCAGCGTCCCGGAGTCACGAAATCAAAATTCAGACGCTGGGCAACCGACTCGCATTTACGACGGTCGCAGCGTCCCGGGGTCACGAAATCAAAATTCAGACGCTGGGCAACCGACTCGTATTTACGACGGTCGCAGTGCCTGACCCCCCCCCTTTTGTGACCTGCCGACAATGGGGAAGCAAAATTCACATCACAACCTGGTAACTGAGTTAAAAGCTGCCGTGATGTACTTATCAACGGTGGTAAGGGATCTGGCCAAAGGGGGGGGGCAAATTCCCTTAACTGTCTCACTTAACGACATGGGGAAAGCCATGATTCACTTAACAACCAGGTTAGTAATTGAAGGACTGCAAGGATTCACTGAACGGTGGCGAGAAGAGTCGTAAAATGGGGCGAAATTGACTGAATTGCCTCCCTATGGGCTTAATTGGCGGTCGTAAAGTTGAGGACTAGCTGGATGCCGTTCGGCTGTTACGAAAGATGGCACAAAACAACAGACCATACCAATCCAGGTTATATACACTGTTGAATTAAATGACGGCTAGGTTGAACACACCGGTGTGTGTGTGTGTGTATTTGTGTGGAATTGCCATCCGGATTCGAATCCAGAACACCAAGGAATTGCAAGCAAACTTGTGGGCATCTGGGGAACAGATGGGATATATATATATATTTTTTAAACAAAAATCTGATTTTTGCACAGATCGCTAAAATCTGAAGATTATTAGATAGGCTAGAATATTTTCTAAAAGGGCAATCAAAAAGCAGGGTGTCCTCGGACTTACGACGGTGCCCAGCCCAAATCGACTTACGACTTGAGTCCTGAAGTTACAGCCTCTGCATGTTGGCTTCTCGGCAACTCTGGATTGCCTTTGCGATATATTTTATTTTTTCCCTCCCCGAAGAAACCAGCATTGACTTCCCATTTTCAAAATTCAAAAATAACTAAGCAAACCCATCTTCTGAAGAAAAAAAAAAACAGGACAAACCCTGGATTCACTTAACAACTGGAGTGTTCGCTTAATGACCACCACAAAAAAACCCCATTTGGATGAAATTGGATCCGGTTTTGGGATGATTCCCTTTACAGGTATCACGAGTGACTACGGTAATTGTCACACTTGACAACAGTCGTAACTTGAGGACTATCGGTATGACGGGATTTTTCTGTCATTCCTGGCCCACTCAAGTTACGACTATAATTGCCATACTTAATGACGGTCATTAATTCAAGGACTATGGGTATGATGAAATTTTTTTTCTCCTGTTGTGCCTGGTCCTCATGAGTGACTGTTAATTGCCACACTCGATGATGGTCATAACTTGAGGCATATCGATGTGACAATGGGATTTATCGTCATGCCTTGTCCTCATGAATGATGACTGTAATTGCCACACTCGATAATGGTCGTAACTTGAGGACTGTGAGGATTGGATTTATCCTGTCATGCCTGGTCTTAAGTGACGACTGTAATTGACACACTCAATGACGATTGTAACTTGAGGACATCACTGTGATGATGGGATTTTTCTGCCATTACTGCCCACTCGAGTTACGACTAATTGCCACACTCAATGATGGTCGTAACTTGAGGACTATTATGACGATGGGATTTCTCCGGTCATGTCTGGTCCTCATGAGTGACTGTAATTGCCACTCAGTAACGGTCGTAACTTGAGGACTATCGGTGTGACAATGGGATTTTTCGGTCATTACTAGCCCACTCGAGTTACAACTGTAATTCCCACACTTGAGGATGGTCATAACTTGAGGACTCAGCATAATCATGGGATTTTTCTGTCATGACTGGTCCACTCGAGTTACAACTGTAATTGCCACACTTGATAACGGTCGTAACTTGAGGACTATTGGTGTGACGATGGGATTTATTCGGTCATACCTGGTCCTCATGAGTTACGACTGTAAGTGCCACACTTGATGACGGTCGTAACTTGAGGATTATCAGTGTGATGATGGCATTTTTCTGTCATTACTGGTCCACTCGAGTTACGACTGCAACTGCCACACTCAATGACAGTCGTAACTGGAGGACTATCTGTATGACAATAGGATTTCTTTCCTCCGTCGTGCCTGGCCCACACTTCTGTGTAAGTCACAATCCTTTCCAAGCAAAATTTGAGAGAAAGGCAGATTTTAGCCAGCGCACAAAAGCAAGGACGCACAATTATTAAAGTGTAACACAATTACCTTTGTTCATCAAAAGATTCTTCCAGGTCAAATATCCCCTGTAATCAAAAATATTTTTTTTTAAAAAAGGAATGTAATAATAATAATAAAGTTGGAAGGGACTTAGAGGTCATCTAGTCCAACCCCCTGCTCAGGCAGGAAACCCTATACCATTTCAGGCAAATGGCTGTCCAGTCTCTTCTTAAAAACTTCCGGTGCAGGCATAGGGATCTTCAAGTTACGGCCGAAATACGACGGTTGTGACTTTTGTGGGTTGTGAGAATTTTTTGTTGTTGACAGGACCCACATCAAAGCGGCAACGTCGTAGCTGCCATTTCGGCTTTTTTTTAACCTTGTGCAAAAAAAAAAAAAAAAAAAAAACCGGCCTATTTTCACAAACACACACTTTGTGCAGAATGTGTATATAAAAAAATGTTCACGGCAAAGTGCGGCCTTTTGGCCAAATAATTTAAACATCTACAGTTTTAATAAGGTGTAAATAAATACAATTATGAACAGCTTGGATCGACGGTCAAAGGCGCCTAGGTTAAAAGAGTTAAAATGCTCCCTCATTTCAGTCACAAAATTGTGTTGTTTTTTTCGTGTGAGCGATGGGACTTCAAGCGACAAAGTGACGCCACTTCTAATGGAAAACGCACAGCCTTCGATAGAAATGGATTTAAAAAAGCAAATTATTCGTGTTGGCAACGGATTTGCTGTCTAAATTCATGTCTGCCGGGCAGGTGAAGGAAAACGGGGGGAAACTTCCCGATCTTTGAGAGAAAAACACATAATTTGTCTTTCGAAATTCACATTATCTGTGAAAAAGACAAAATCTGGAGTTGCCTCAGTGACGAAACGCTGGCGTGAACCGGCAAACCTCGATTCGTGGTCCCGAGGAAACCAAAATAAAATGAAATATAAAATGGGTTCCTTGGGGTGAGCCAACAAACCACACTTTGTGATCTTGAGGTAACTAAAATGAAAGGTTCCTTAGGGTGAGCGAACAAACCTCGATTCATGGTCTTGAGGTAACCAAAATAAAATGAAATATAAAATGGATTCCTTGGGGTGAGCGAACAAACCTCAATTTGTGGTCTTGAGGAAACCAAAATAAAATGAAATATAAAATGAGGGGATCCTTGGGGTGAGCAAACAAACCTCAATTCATGGTCTTGAGGAAACAAACAATCCCTCTCTCTCCCCCCCTTGGGGTGAACTAGCAAACCTCGATTCGTGGTTGTGCGGAAACCAAAATAAAATGAAATATAAAATGAGGGGTTCCTTGGGGTGAGCGAACAAACCTCGATTCGTGGATGTGCGGAAACCAAAATAAAATATAAAATGAGGGGTTCCTTGGGGTGAGCGAACAAACCTTGATTCATGGATGTGCGGAAACCAAAATAAAATGAAATATAAAATGAGGGGTTCCTTGGGGTGAGCAAGCAAACCACAATTGGTGGTCTTGAGGTAACCAAAATAAAATGACAGGTTCCTTGGGGTGAGCGAACAAAACTCGATTCCTGGTTTTGAGGAAACAAACAAAATATATATAAAATGAGAGATTCCTTGGGGTGAACAAACCTCAATTCGTGGTTGTGCAGAAACCAAAATAAAATGAAATATAAAATGAGGGGTTCCTTGGGGTGAGCAAGCAAACCACAATTGGTGGTCTTGAGGTAACCAAAATAAAATGACAGGTTTCTTAGGGTGAGCAAATAAACCTCGATTCCTGGTTTTGAGGAAACAAACAAAATATATATAAAATGAGAGATTCCTTGGGGTGAACAAACCTCAATTTGTGGTTGAGCGGAAACTAAAATAAAATGAAATATAAAATGAGGGGTTCCTTGGGGTGAAAAAGCAAACCACAATTGGTGGTCTTGAGGTAACCAAAATAAAATGAAAGGTTCCTTGGGGTGAGCGAAGAAACCTCAATTCGTGGTTGTGCGAAATCCAAAATAAAATATAAAATGAGGGGTTCCTTAGGGTGAGCGAACAAACCTCAATTCGCGGCCTTGAGGTAACCAAAAATAAACTAAAATGTAAAATGAGGGATCCCTGGTGCTCTCTGACTTGGCTTGCTTTCATTCAGACGTGTCTTTAAATATAAAATACAAGTGACTTTTTTTTTTTTATCCCCCGCCAAGTTAAAATCTCAAGGCATTCTGGCCGCCGGGAAGGTGAGGCCGGGCGGAAGAGATGTAAAGTAGGAATTATATTCGCCATTTTTCCGTTTTCCTTTCGCCCGCAGCCACTTGGAGGTGGGGAACGATCCGTGCGGTCAAGGAGAGGAGCGAGGAGAGCTACGACGGGTTTCCTAAGCCTTCGACTGAGGCTTCCAGACGTAATCCCGGATCATGGTATAAACCACACCTGGAAGACAAACATCACGACAAGAATAGCTTTGAAGAAGAGGCTGGACAGCCATTTGGTTTGAAGTTGGTCGAGGGTTTCCTGCCTGAGCAGGGGGTTGGACTAGATGACCTCCAAGGTCCCTTCCAACTTTATTTTATTATTATTATAAATGACAAAATAAAGGAAGAAGGAAGAAAAAAAAGGAAGGAAGAAGAAGAGGAGGAAGGACTGTGGGGGTCCCTGGTGCTCTCTGAGCTGGGTGGTTTCCTTGCAGACGTCTCATGACCCAACTAGGGAACGTCATCAAGGTTAGAAGGAGGGAGGAGGAGGAGGAGGAGGAAGGACTGTGGGGTCCTGGGTGCTCTCTGAGCTTGGCTGATTTCTTGCAGACGTTTCATGACCCAACTAGGGAACATCATCAGTGCTAGAAAGGAGGAGGGAGGAGAGAGGAGGGGGGAGGAGGAGGAGGAAAAAAAGACTGTGGGATCCTGGGTGCTCTCTGAGCTGGTTGCTTTTCCTTGCAGACGTCTCACGACCCAACTAGGGAACGTCATCAGGGCTAGAAGGGAGGAGGAGGAGGAGACCACGTGGGGTCTCAAGTCCCTTTGTTCTGTGCCATTCTGACTTCGAACCGTCCCTAAGTGAACCGTTGTTCAGTCAGGGAAGAGCCATCCTTTCCGTCCCCCGGCCATCCCAGAGCCCCACAGCCGCCCCCCAAATACACACACACACACACACACACACACACACACACGGTCCGCGCCGCGCCCCCTCCCCGCCCCCCAAAAAAGGCCTGGGACTCACCGCAGACGATGCTGCCCACCACGAAGCCCTGGGCGGCCATGCGGGTGTGGATGAGGTGGATGGACATCTTGGTCTGGCCCCGGTGCTTCAGCCGGTAGATGCCGTAGGCCGCCACGCTGAAGAAGCCCGCCAGGCCTGGCGGAGGGAGGGAGAGAGGGAGAGAGAAAGGCCGTCAGTGCCCTGGCTGGAAGCAGCGGGGAGAGGGAGAGGGGAGGGATAAATAAGGGAGGGAGGGAGAGAGAGGGCCGTCAGTGCTCTGGCCAGAAGTGGCAGAGAGGGAGAGGGAGGGAGGGAGGGAGGGAGAGGCCGTCAGTGCCCTGGCCGGAAGCGGCGGAGAGAGGGAGAGGGGAGGGATAAATAAGGGAGGGAGGGAGAGAGAGGGCCGTCAGTGCTCTGGCCAGAAGTGGCAGAGAGGGAGAGGGAGGGAGGGAGAGGCCGTCAGTGCCCTGGCCGGAAGCGGCGGGGAGAGGGAGAGGGGAGGGATAAATAAGGGAGGGAGGGAGAGAGAGGGCCGTCAGTGCTCTGGCCAGAAGTGGCAGAGAGAGAGAGGGAGGGAGGGAGGGAGGGAGAGCCCGTCAGTGCCCTGGCCGGAAGCGGCGGGGAGAGGGAGAGGGGAGGGATAAATAAGGGAGGGAGGGAGAGAGAGGGCCGTCAGTGCTCTGGCCAGAATGGAAGAGGGGAGAGGAGGGAGAGCCCGTCAGTGCCCTGGCCAGAAGCGGGGGAGAGGGAGAGGGGAGGGATAAATAAGGGAGGGAGGGAGAGAGAGGGCCGTCAGTGCTCTGGCCAGAAGTGGAAGAGAGGGAGGGAGGGAGGGAGGGAGAGCCCGTCAGTGCCCTGGCCGGAAGCGGCGGGTAGAGGGAGAGGGGAGGGATAAATAAGGGAGGGAGGGAGAGAGAGGGCCGTCAGTGCTCTGGCCAGAAGTGGCAGAGAGGGAGAGGGAGGGAGGGAGGGAGAGAGGGAGGGAGGGAGAGGCCGTCAGTGCCCTGGCCGGAAGCGGCAGAGAGGGAGAGGGAGGGAGGGAGGGAGAGCCCGTCAGTGCCCTGGCCAGAAGCGGCGGGGAGAGGGAGAGGGGAGGGATAAATAAGGGAGGGAGGGAGAGAGAGGGCCGTCAGTGCTCTGGCCAGAAATGGAAGAGAGGGAGGGAGGGAGGGAGGGAGAGCCCGTCAGTGCCCTGGCCGGAAGCGGCGGGTAGAGGGAGAGGGGAGGGATAAATAAGGGAGGGAGGGAGAGAGAGGGCCGTCAGTGCTCTGGCCAGAAGTGGCAGAGAGGGAGAGGGAGGGAGGGAGGGAGGGAGGGAGAGGCTGTCAGTGCCCTGGCCGGAAGCGGCGGAGAGAGGGAGAGGGGAGGGATAAATAAGGGAGGGAGGGAGAGAGAGGGCCATCAGTGCTCTGGCCAGAAGTGGCAGAGAGGGAGAGGGAGAGAGGGAGAGGGAGGGAGGGAGGGAGGGAGGGAGAGGCCGTCAGTGCCCTGGCCGGAAGCGGCGGAGAGAGGGAGAGGGGAGGGATAAATAAGGGAGGGAGGGAGAGAGAGGGCCATCAGTGCTCTGGCCAGAAGTGGCAGAGAGGGAGAGGGAGAGAGGGGAGGGAGGGAGGGAGGGAGAGGCCGTCAGTGCCCTGGCCGGAAGCGGCGGAGAGAGGGAGAGGGGAGGGATAAATAAGGGAGGGAGGGAGAGAGAGGGCCGTCAGTGCTCTGGCCAGAAGTGGCAGAGAGGGAGAGGGAGGGAGGGAGAGGCCGTCAGTGCCCTGGCCGGAAGCGGCGGGGAGAGGGAGAGGGGAGGGATAAATAAGGGAGGGAGGGAGAGAGAGGGCCGTCAGTGCTCTGGCCAGAAGTGGAAGAGAGGGAGGGAGGGAGGGAGGGAGAGCCCGTCAGTGCCCTGGCCGGAAGCGGCGGGTAGAGGGAGAGGGGAGGGATAAATAAGGGAGGGAGGGAGAGAGAGGGCCGTCAGTGCTCTGGCCAGAAGTGGCAGAGAGGGAGAGGGAGGGAGGGAGGGAGAGAGGGAGGGAGGGAGAGGCCGTCAGTGCCCTGGCCGGAAGCGGCAGAGAGAGGGAGAGGGGAGGGATAAATAAGGGAGGTAGGGAGAGAGAGGGCCGTCAATGCTCTAGCCAGAAGTGGCAGAGAGGGAGAGGGAGGGAGGGAGGGAGGGGCCGTCAGTGCCCTGCCCGGAAGCGGCAGGGAGAGGGAGAGGGGAGGGATAAATAAGGGAGGGAGGGAGAGAGAGGGCCGTCACTGTTCTGGCCAGAAGTGGCAGAGAGGGGGAGGGAGGGAGAGCCCGTCAGTGACCTGGCCGGAAGCGGCGGAGAGAGGGAGAGGGGAGGGATAAATAAGGGAGGGAGGGAGAGAGAGGGCCGTCAGTGCTCTAGCCAGAAGTGGCAGAGAGGGAGAGGGAGGGAGGGAGAGGCCGTCAGTGCCCTGGCCGGAAGCGGCGGAGAGAGGGAGAGGGGAGGGATAAATAAGGGAGGGAGGGAGGAAAAGAGGAAGGGAGGAGATGTGTGCAGAGGAAAAAAAAGAAGGAAGGAAGGAAGGGAGGGAGGGAGGGAGGGAGAGAGGGAAGGAGGGATAAATAAGAAATGATGGGAGGAAGGGAGGAAATAATGAAAGAAGGGAGGGAGGGAGGGAGAAAGGGATAAGGAAGGAAGGAAGGAAGGAAGAAAGGAGTTAGGGGAGGAAGGGAGAGACGGAGGGAGGAAGAGACGTGCAGAGGAGGGAGGGATAAATAAGGAAGGAAGGGAGTAGGGAATAATGAAAGGGAGGAAGGAAGAAAAGAAGGGGGTAGGGGAAGAAGGGAGAGACGGAGGAAGAGACAGTGTGGAGAAGGAGGGAGGGATAAATAAGAAATGAAGGGAGTAGGAGAGGGAGGGAGACAGAGGGAGGTGGAATGGAAGGATAAATAAGAAAGGAAGGACAGGAGATGGGGAGGGAATAATGAAAGAAGGGATCAAGGGAGGGCGGGACGGAGAAAGAAAGGGAGAAGGAAGGAAGGGGGTAGGGGAGGCGAGGGAGGAAGAATGTAGGGGAGGGAGGCAGAAAGGAAAGGAGGGAGGGATAAATAAGGAAGGGGGATATGGGAGGAAGGGAGAGAAGGAAGAAGGGATGGTGTGGAGGAGGGAGGAAGAGGGGGGATAAATAAGGGAGGGAGGGAGAAAGAAGGAGAAGGAAAGAAGGAAGGAGAGGAGGAAGGAAATGTGTGGAGAGGAAAAATGAAGGAAGAAACGGGAGGGGAGGGAGGCAGAGAGAAAGGGAGGGAGGAATAAGGAAAGAAGGAAGGGGTAGGGGAGGAAGCGAGGGAGGGAGAAATAAGGAAGAGGGGAGAGAAGGAGAGACAGGAAGGAAATGTGTGGAGAGGAAGGAAGGAAGGAAGGAAGGAAGGAAGGAAGGAAGGAAGGAAGGAAGGAAGGAAGGAAGGAAGGAAGGAAGGAAGGAGGGAGGTGTATGGAGGAGGTGGAGGAAGGACGGACAGACAGCCGAGGCTTATGCAAAACAGATTTTGTGAAGCTGATCATAACTTTGCTCCCCAACCTGGGAGACCCCCAACCGCATCGGCTCCCTAAACCCCACCAATGACTTCTGAAATACAGGTGGTCCTCAACTTACGACCGTGTGTGCGACTTGCTTAATGACCTCCGCAGAAAGATCGTTTAAAAAAACAAAAAAACCCTATCCGGTCCTCGAGTGTGGTTATTAAGTGGAGGACCACCTGAATAGGGCAGGGTCTCTCAAGACCGGCCCTTGTGGGGAATTATGGGAGTTGGAGTCCAAGGGGTCAAGGTTCGAGACACCATCGGGCGGGCTCCAAGGAACCGGCGGGCGGAAGACGGACTTACCGATCGGGACGAAGGGCATTTCTTTCGATTTCCGGAGCAGCTTCGAAGTCGACGTTTCGTCGTAAACCGGGAAGACTTTTTCCGAAGGAGAGGCCATGGTCGCTGTGAGGAACGAAACCCACAAAAAGGTTACATAGGAGGGGGGAAAAAAGAAGAAAAAGTCTTCAAAAATACAGATGGTCTTCCACTGACGACGGTTCGCTTAGTGACTGTCCGAAGTCCCAACGGCGGTGAAAAAGTGAGCTGCCCCCAGTCCTCATGGACACGAGGGAAGTCCTCCACTGACGATTCGCTTAGTGACTGTCCGAAGTCACAATGGCCATGAAAAAAGCGAGCCGCCCACAGTCCTCCTACTTACGAGGGTCGCAGCGTCCTCACGGACACGTATGAGAGCAGTCCTCCCACTTACGACCGGTTGTGAAAAAAGTGGGCTGCCCCCAGCCCTCCCACTTACGAGCATCGCAGTATCTTCACAGATCCAGCGGCGGGCAGTCGTTTTGCGACCACAAAGGCACCCAAAATGTCTGTTATTTTGAGAGATAAGGGCGTTTTGTCCTCCCAATTTGACCACCTTTCTTGACACGGTTCTTAAGTGAATCGCTGCCCTCGTTAAGTTATGGGCAGATATGAGGGCCATCCTCCACTTACGACCATCCGTTTAGTGACCGGTTGCGAAAAAAGTGAGCTGCCACCAGTCCCCCCACTTACGAGCGTTGCAGTATCCTCACAGACCCAGCGGCGGGCAGTCGTTTTGCGACCACAAAGGCGCCTGAAATTTCTGTCAAGTGAGACATCGGTGAAGAGCCTCTTGCCCCATTTGACCACCTTTCTTGACACGGTTCTTAAGTGAATCACTGCCGTTATTAAGTTATGGGCACATATGAGGGCCATCCTCCACTTACCACCATCTGTTTAGTGACCGGTCGTGAAAAAAAATTGAGCTGCCCCCAGTCCTCCCACTTACGAGCATCACAGTATCCTCACAGGGACATATGAAGGCAGTGCTCGGCTTACGACCGTCTGTTTAGTGACTGGTAGTGAAAAAAGTGAGCTGTCCCCAATTCTCCCACTTACAAGGGTCGCAGCGTCCTCACGGACACATGAGGGCAGTCCTCGACTTACGACTGTCTATTTAGTAACTGGTCGTGAAAAAAGTGAGCTGTCCCCAGTCCTCCCACTTACGAGGGTCGCAGTATCCTCATAGGCACATATGATGGCAGTCCTCCACTTATGACCATCCATTCAGTGACTGGTCGTGAAAAAATTGAGCTGCCCCCAGTCCTCCCATTTACGAGGGTCGAAGCATCCTCACGGTCACATATGAGGGCAGTCCTCGACTTACGATCATCCATTTAGTGACCGATTGTGAAAAAAGTGAGCTGCCCCATCCTCCCACTTACGAGGGTTGCAGCGTCCTCATAGGCACATATGATGGCAGTCCTCCACTTACGACCGTCCATTCAGTGACCGGTCGTGAAAAAAGTTAGCTGTCCCCAGTCCTTTACGAGGGTCGAAGCATCCTCACGGGCACATAGGATGGCAATCCACCACTCATGACTGTCCATTCAGTGACCGGTCATGAAAAAAGTTAGCTGCCCCGTCCTCCCACTTATGAGGTCACAGCATCCTCAAGGACACATGAGGGCAGTCCTCGACTTATGATGGTTCACTTAATGACTGTCCAAAGACACAATGGCCGTGAAAAAAGCGAGCTGCCCCCAGTCCTCCCATTTACGAGGGTCGAAGTATCCTCACAGGCACATATGAGGGAAGTCCTCCACTTACGACCGTCCATTTAGTGACTGGTCATGAAAAAAGTGGACTGCTCCAGTCCTCCCACTTACGAGCGTCGCAGTATCCTCACAGACCCAGCCACGGGAAATCGTTTTACGACCACAATGGCGCCTCAAATTTCTGTCACTGAGATATTGGCGAAGGCCGTTTTGCCCCCCCCATTTGACAACTTTTCTTCCCATGGTTCTTAACTGAATCACTGCCGTCGTTAAGCTAGTCACACAGTCGTTAAGGGAGTTGGGTTTCCCGCTGATCTGAAGCTCGCCAAAAAAAAAAAAAGATTGCATGATCTTGGCACACAGCAACCGTCGTAAATACGATTCAGCGGCCAAGCGTTATGAATTGCGGTCATAACCCCGAGGACTCCCTGTGAAACCGGCAAAATACAATCGGTCGATGCAGGAAACTTTCCCAAAAAAGGAACAAGACCAAAAAAATCTTGTTTGTGCTTCACTTCCTGCCACGATTTCCGTTCCTAATTTCATCAGAGTCTATCTCAGCCGGAGGCATTGCGTCATTCTGCAAAATTGTTTCAGTAAATCCCTCCCTTGCCTGGCTTGTGACTGGTGTGACTCTTTGCAAAGTTGTGCAAACTTTAAAAAGGAAAAAAAATTCACCTTGCCACTGTCCTTGACTTAATTCCTTTTTTTAAAAAAAAAATAAAAAATTCAACCCGGATTTTCAATAGAAGCATTCCTTTGGAAATTTAAAAAAAAAAAAAGAGGATTTTAATCAAATCAAGCAAGAAATAAGGAGAAAGAAGGAGGGAAAATAACCAGCGGAACAGCTTGCCACAAGAGGTGGGTTTGACAAGACTGGAGGTTTTTCCAGAAAAGATGGGACAGGCATTAGTCTGGAATGGCAGAGGGTCTCCTGCTAGAGCAGGGGGGCTGGAATAGATGACCTCCAAGGTCCCTTCCAAGGGCCTCAAAAAGGGGGTTGGACTAGATGACCTCCAAGGTTATTTCCAACCCTTTCTATGATTCTGGACGGGTCTCTTCCTCAAGCAGGGGGTTGGACGAGATGACCTCCAAGGTCCCTTCCAACCTTGTGATTCTATGATACTGTAAGGACTGCTCGAAAAGGGGGTTGGACTAGATGACCTCCAAGGTCCCTTCCAACCTTGTTACTCTATGATTCTGTAAGGATCTCTTGCTTGAGCAGGGGGCTGGACTAGATGACCTCCAAGGTCCCTTCCAACCCTGTTATTCTGAAGCATTCAGATGCCTCCCAACTGGGGGGGGTGATCTCAGGAAGTCCTCGACTTACAACCACAACTGACCCTCATATTTCTGTCGTTAAGTGAGGCACTTGTGAGGCGGGTTTTGCCCCAATGGACACCCTTTTTTCTTCCACCCTTATGAGATGAATCTATGCCAGGGGCCTTCAAACATGGCCCCTTTTATGACTGGTAGACTTCAACTCCCAGAATTCCTCAGCCAGCATGCCTGGCTGAGGAATTCTGGGAGTTGAAGTCCACCAGTCATAAAAGGGCCTGGTTTGAAGACCCCTGGTTTGGATCCAAGCCCGCAGGTTCATCAAAATGGCTGATTGAGGGATTCTGGGAGTTGAAGTCCACCAGTCAGAAAAGGGCCAAGTTGGAAGACCACTGAGAGTCTGGATCCAAGCCTGCAATTTCATCAAAATGGCCGACTGAGGGATTCTGGGAGTTGAAGTCTCACAAGTCATAAAAGGGCCAAGTTGAAAGACCCCTGAGAGTCTGGATCCAAGCCCGCAGTTTCATCAAAATGGCCGACGGAGGAATTCTGGGAGTTGAAGTCCACAAGGGCCACGTTTGCTAGCACAGGGAGCCCTTGACTTACGGCCAGAACGGGAGCCCAAAATTTAGATCGCTAAGTGAGACATTTGTCCTAAGTGAGTTTTGTCCCTTTTTTACGACCTTTCCGGTCAGAGTTATTAAGAGAATCACTCCCGCCATTAACTTAGTAACCCGGTTATTAAGTGAATCTGGGCTCCCCCCCCCTCGACTTTGCTTGTCAGACGGTCGCAAAAGGGGATCACGTGACCCCGGGACCGTCATAAATGTGAGTCAGTGGCCACGTTGGTTTGAATCTGGATCACGTGACCTTGGGGATGGCTGCAAAGGTCGTCAGGGTGAAACAACGGTTCTAAGTCCCTTTTTCCAATGCCCTTGTGATTCTGCACGGTCGCTAAATGAATCGTTGTAAGTTGAGGACTACGAGAAGACCAGCTAGGCTTCGCTAGGCCAAAACTGGACAACAAGGTGGGCACAACCAATGCCAGGATGAGAAGAAATTTGTTTCGAGAAAGCACAACTAATCTGTTCACAATTATTTTTTGGGAAAAGGAGGGTGGGAAGCATGCTTTCCAGGAGATTGACAGCTGTCAATATACTTAAAGCAATTGGCAGAGGAAGCAGAGCTGAAGGTCCGTGGCAACTTAGCCGTATTTGGAACGCGATTAATAATGTTTCCAATTGCAATTTTAATTGTTTCTGCATTTATCCTTCTTTTTTAGGTTTTGCAAGCTGCCCAGAGTGGCGATAGAGTAGATAGATAGATATATAGATTAAATTTAAATGTATACATATATTGATTAAATTTCAATTACACAGAAACACACACAGATATGGTTTAAATTATGCGGTATTGATTAAAGTTTTATATCTCTACGTATACCGTATTGATTAAATGTAGATATGACACTGATTTATGGTATTCAATTTTACGTATAAGGTGATTTCTGAAGTTTAAATTTATATACATTGATTTATTAAATTTCATATAAATGTGTGTGTGTGTGTGTGTGTGTGTGTGTGTGTACACACAAATACATATAACATATTAAATTTAAATTACATATATAGTACTGGCTTCTTCCATTGACTGATTAAATTTAAATTTTAGACAGATATAGTTGCTGGATGTATTAAATTGATACGCCACCCCTCTGAGGAAGTAGGGCAACTTACAAAAACTATAAAAAATAAATATCAAAAGAACTAAAATTACAATTGCACAATTTCTGTAGGAAGTTACACCACCCTTCCCACTTAACTGACCTTGGGTACTTTTTACAACATGTAACACACAAAGAGAGACACTCATGTCTGTGTGTCTGTGTGTGCATGCATATGGGTGGGGTTGTTTGATTGAATTGAAAATCATATAATATAGCTTATTTTATATCTATATCTATAAATATTTTATAAAAATATATGTGTATGTGTGTATATCTATCTATCTATCTATCTATATATATATATATAATACATATGTACATATATCTATATATCTATATAGATAATACATATGTACATACATCTATATCTATATATTGATATATATCTATATCTATACCTATATCTATCTATATCTATATAGATAATACATATGTACATAGATCTATATATCGATATATATCTATATATATCTCTATATAAATACACATGTACATATATCTATATCTATATATCAATATATATCTATATCTATACCTATATCTATATAAATACATATGTACATATATCTATACATCGATATATCTATATCTCTCTATATAAATACATATGTACATATATCTATAGGTACCTCAGAAAACAAATATCTATATCTATATCTATATATCTATATATCTACCTATATCTATCTATATAGATAATACATATGTACATATATCTATATATCGATATCTATATATGTATATCTATACATTATATCTATCTATATAGATAATACATATGTACATATATCTATATCTATATATAATCTATACCTATACCTATACCTATACCTGTATCTATCTATCTATCTATCTAGATATATAGATATGTACATATATTATGTATGTGTATATTAATACGGTATATATATACATATGATTTTAAACACACAATTATTAAACAACCCTATGCAGATTGTAATTTCTAAATTATAGAAATCACAGCCATTTGACAGAAACGGTAGAGTGTCTCCTGCCTCAGCAGCGGGTTGGACTAGATGACCTCTAATGTTCCTCCCAACTTTATTATTATTAATATTAATAAATAATATTAATAGAAGATACAAGCTTAGGATCCCACCATTGGAGGGGAGTGGGAAGCTGACCTCCCCCTGCTCCCCGCCCCCAAATCCTGACCAGAGGCCCAGACACGTTTTTCCCTCCCAGACCCGTGTCGGGCGAAGAACCGGGAGCGTTCCCACGACCCCCTTGACCCGCCTTCTGCCCCAAAGCCGCTCCAAAAAAGGAAAAGGGAAAAAAAAAAAAACAGGCCGGATCTCTCAGTACAGCCCGTCCTGTCCTTGGACCCGCGGCCGGGGATGATGGGAACCGCACTCCCCCCATACACACTGGCTGGGGATGATGGGAGGGGTAGTCCCATTTCCCGCCGGCCCCGGAGAAAACGGCCGGGGAGCTGCCGCGCGGCCTTTGCCGGGCTCGTCTCGGCCCTCCCCGACACTCACCTCGGCGTATCTTCCGCGCTTCCTTCTCGTTCGCCGGCCGGCTTTCTAATCGAGGCGGGCTGAGGAAGGCCCGTGTCTTTCAACGACAGTCCCCGCCCTCCGAAGCGGTGACGCACTTCCGCTTCGCTAACCCCGCCCCTTCCACTCTGGGCCTCGCCTTTCTTTCTTCTGAGGGCCTTGAACCAGGGGGAGTCTTCCAACTGGGCCCTTGTGTGACTGGTGGACTTCAACTCCCAGAATTCCTCAGCCAGGCACGCCTGCCGAGGAGTTCTGGGAGTTGAAGTCCACGAGTCATATAATGGGCCTTGACGGTTGCGACGCTCCCAGAAAGCCTTTCGGCCCTCAGGTGATTGTTGGTTGGTTTTTTTTTTAAACCCGCTTCCCCGCCCCGGCTCGCTGACGTCATAGCGGCCGCCGGCCAATCGGACGGCGACTTTGGCTGCCATGGTGACCGGGTTGCCAAGGTGACCGGAACGTGGAATGTGAGGCGATTGAGGCCCTTTTTTTCCCGCTTTTTTTTTTTTTTAATCCAAGGCGGATTCACACGACACGCAAAAAAAAAAAGACCAAAAAGCGTGTCAAGGAGGAGATTGATCAGGGTTCTCCCGCCGTTCTCTGACCCGTGCAAAAGGGGGAGAAAAAAAAAACACGGAGGAAAGCGGAATTCACCTTGATACGTGTCTGTGGAGGCTCCCTGGGTTGTGTGAACGCAGCCTTGGGTGCTTAATGCGTGTAGGGGGAACCCAGAAGCGGGTCAGGCTCCTTGCTGGGTTCAGATAGTTGTGTGAATACCAAAGGGGAAGGTGGTTCAGAAAATAGACTGGAGGAAATGCTTGAGCAGGGGGCTGGACTAGATGACCTCTGAGGTCCCTTCCAACTCTGATTTTCCATGATTCTACAAGGGTCTTCTCCTTGACCAGGGGGCTGGACTAAAAGACCTATAAGGTCCCTTTCAGTTCTGTTCTATTATGATTCTGTAAGGATCTCCTGCTCGAGCAGGGGGTTGACTAGATGACCTCCAAGGTCCCTTCCAACTATTCTATATTCCATTATTCTATTCTATTCCATTCCATTTCATTCTATTCTATTCTATTATTTTCCATTCTATTTTATTTTCCGTTATTCTATTCTATTCTATTCCATTCCATTCTATTCTATTATTTTCCATTATTCTATTCTATTCTATTATTTTCCATTATTCTATTTTATTTTCTGTTATTCTATTCTATTCCATTCCATTCCATTCCATTCTATTATTTTCTGTTATTCTATTCTATTATTTTCCATTCTATTCTATTTTCCATTTTATTTTATTTTCGGTTATTCTATTCTATTCTATTCTATTCTATTCTATTCTTCTATTATTTTCTGTTATTCTATTCTATTATTTTCCGTTATTCTATTCTATTCTATTCTATTCTCTTCTATTCTATTCTATTCTATTCTATTCTGTTATTCTATTTTATTCTATTCTATTTTCCATTCTACTTTATTTTCCATTATTCTATTCTATTCTATTCTATTCTAGTCTAGTCTAGTCTAGTCTTGTCTAGTCTAATCTATTCTATTCTATTCTATTCTTGCCCGCCATGCTGGAAATCTTGCATCCCTTTTTTTTTTTTTCAGAAATAGGGGCACCATCCTGGTTAAGGCAAAGTGGAAGCGGGCTAAAAAGTCCACGGAAGTGTTCTTTTCCCCACCGTTTCACCAATCAAACATGGCTTGTTTTCTTTAAACCAGAGGGAAGACAAACCATTATTTCTGCTTTGCATGCAAGGAATTTGTCACTTTGGTTGAACATCCTGGCTGGCTGCCACCCATTCAGCACCTTTTCTGTCCTTTTTTTAAATCCCCTTCCAATTTTTTTTTTTTTTTTTTTTTGCAGCTTTGGCTCACAATTGTCGTGTTTCAAAGCAGAGAAGTGACACAATTGTCGCGTTTGCACAACCAGGGAAGTGATGAGAGCAAAAGAAGTGTGTGTCAATTGACCAACGGAACAGCTTGCCGTCCGAAGTTGTGACAGATTCATCACTGGGGGAGTTTTAAGGAACAGACTGGACAGTCACTTGTCTGAAATGGAATAAGGCCTCCTGCTCGAAAAAGGGGGCTGGACTAGATGACCTCCGAGGTCCCTTCCAACTCTGTCCTTTTATGATTCTGGAAGGGTCTCCTGCTTCAGCAGGGGGCTAAACTAGATGACCTCCAAGGTCCCTTCCTGCTCTATTCTGATTGATTGACTCCGCACTTACCGTGCTGGTGTGGCTGGTTACATATTCCCCTTGAGGTTTCCCAAGAGTTTGGTCTGTTCCAGAAACTCGGAACAAGAACAAGACGCTTGCGTCCTTACGTCAGTGTGTATAATCACGAGTTTTGCCTTACACATAATTGTGCTGGAGAACTCAACCCTTTTTAAAACAAACTCTTGACTTATAAGCTGTTTGTTTAGTGGCTGTTTAAAGTTACAGTGGCCCTGGAGATGCTGGAAGGGAAGGGAAGGGGAGAGAAGAGAAGAGAAGGGAAGAGAAGAGAAGAGAAGAGAAGAGAAGAGAAGAGAAGAGAAGAGAAGAGAAGAGAGAAAGGTGAATAGAATAGAATAGAACAGAATAGGAATAGAATAGAATATAGAATAGAGTGGAATGGAATAGAATAGAATAGAGAATACGAGAGAAAGGAGAATAGAATAGAATAGAATAGAATATAGAATAGAATAGAGAAAGGAGAATAAAATAGAGTAGAATGGAATGGAATAAACAGAATTGAATATAGAATGTAGAACAGAACAGAATAGAATAGAATACAGAATAGGAGAGAAAGGAGAATGGAATGGAATGGAATGGAATAGAATAGAATATTGAATGGAATGGAGAATAGAATAGGAATAGAATAGAATAGAATAGAAAATATGGAATAGAATAGAATAGAATAGAATAGGAGAGAAAGGAGAATAGAATATAATATAGAAGAGAATAGAGAATAGAATAGGAATAGAATAGAATAGAATAGAATAGAATAGAATAGAATAGAAAATATGGAATAGAATAGAATAGAATAGAATAGAATAGGAGAGAAAGGAGAATAGAATATAATATAGAAGAGAATAGAGAATAGAATATAGAATAGAATAGAGAATAAGAGAGAAAGGAGAATGGAATGGAATGGAATAGAAAATTGAATGGAATGGAGAATAGAATAGAAAATATGGAATGGAATGGAATAGAATAGAATAGAATAGAATAGAATAGAATAGAATAGAATAGAATAGGAGAGAAAGGAAAATAGAATAGAATAGAGAATAGAATATAGAATAGAACAGAATAGAATAGAATACAAAATAGGAGAGAAAGGAGAATGGAATGGAATGGAATGGAATAGAAAATTAAATGGAATGGAGAATAGAATAGAAAATATGGAATAGAATAGAATAGAGAATAGGAGAGAAAGGAGAATAGAATATAGAACAGAACAGAATAGAATAGAGAAAGGAGAATAGAATAGAGTAGAATGGAATGGAATAGAGAATAGAATTGAATATAGAATGTAGAACAGAACATAATAGAATGGAGAATAGGAGAGAAAGGAGAATAGAATAGAATAGAATAATAAAATGGAATGGAATGGAATGGAATAGAGTAGGAATAGGAGAAAGGAGAATAAATAGAATAGAATAGAAGAATGGAATAGAATAGAATAGAATAGAATAGGAGAAAGGAGAATAAATAGAATAGAATAGAATAGAATAGGAGAAAGGAGAATAAATAGAATAGAATAGAATAGAATAGAATAGAATAGAATAGAATGGAATAGAATAGAATAGGAGAAAGGAGATTAAATAGAATAGAATAGAATAGAATAGAATAGAATAGAATAATGGAATGGAATGGAATAGAATAGAATAGAATAGAATTTTATGTCACTTGACATGTACAGCAATCAGCAGACATTAAAATAAAAATTTGCTGCCTGCAGCTCTCAAAACAATACCATCCGTTACACCCACACACGCCTACCTCTGTGACACCGAAAAACATCCCCTTTTAGTTCCGAACGGGCACCTATCCGCATGAAGTGAGTCCCCGCGGTGGAGTCAATCCGACGGTCGCTAAGCGAAACCGGCTTCCCCATGCTGCAAGAGTCTTCCAAGTGTGAAAAACAGTCCCTTTTTTCCCCGGCTGCCGTCGTTACTCGGGGCCGTCGCTAAGCGATCACTCGTAAGCTGAGGACTCTGAAACGACCCCCCCCCTTTTTTTTGGCTGAGGAAACATTTTTGGGGGGGAGAGGAACCCGGGACGGCAATTTCACCCGACGCTCCTTGCCATCCTTTCCTCTCGAAGCGACTTTATTTCCCTTTCCCTTTATTTTTATGGCTTTATTTGATTTTCCTTTTCTGCAATCCACGGCTCGTCAAAAGAAAGCCCAGCTGGAAAAAAATTCAGATTTTTTTTTCTTACATTTTTACCACTAAACCCTCCTAAACTGAGGTCAAACCCTGAGGGGAAAAAAAACACGAAAACGAGAAGCCAAAATGCACTGGGATCAAAGTCCCAGGAGACTCATGTCTACGACGGTCGTAGCATCCCAGGGTCACGATCAAAATTCAGATATTTGGCAACCGACTCGTATTTACGACGGTCGCATCGTCCCGCGGTGACATGATCAAAATGTAGATGCTTGGCAACCGACATGTATTTACGACGGTCGCAGTGTCCCGGGGTCAAGGGATCAAAATTCAGATGCTGGGCAACCGACTCGTATTTACGACGGTCACAGCGTCCCAGGACACGTGATCAAAATTGAGACGCTCGGTCACCGACTTGTATTTACGACGGTCACAGTGTCCCGGGGTCACAGGTTCCAAATTCGGTCGCTGGGCAACCGACTCTTATTTACGACGGTCTCAGTGTCCCAGGACACGGGATCAAAATTCAGACGCTCGGTCACCGACTTGTATTTATGACGGTCACAGTGTCCCAGGACACGGGATCAAAATTCAGACGTTTCGTAACCGACTCGTATTTACGACGGTCACAGTGTCCCGGGGTCACGGGCTCCAAATTCAGACGCTGGGCAACCGACTCGTATTTACGACGGTCGCAGTGTCCCGGGGTCACGGGCTCCAAATTCAGACGCTGGGCAACCGACTCGTATTTACGATGGT